CACCACGAGGTTTGGGGTCTGGGGGGCTTAGGGATGGGGACGTGGGGAGCTTTAGTGCAGGGCTCAGCACCAGGGGTTGAGGATGTGGGCAGCACAAGATTCTGGGGACACAAGGGCTCAGGGATGGGGACCTGGGGAGCTTTGGGGACCAGGGCAGTGCAGGGGATCAGCGTGGGAAGGAGCTGGGGGACGCGGGCACCACGAGGTTTGGGGTCTGGGGGGGGGGTCTCAGGGACGGGCGCTCACGGATGCCATTGAGGGTGATGATGCGGTCCTCCCCAGCGCTGCTCCCCGCGCGGCTGCTGACGCAGACAGACACCACGAGGGCTTTGGTGCCTTCGGTGCCAGGCGGAACCTTCACCCGACAGACAAATTTCTGTGCCGTGGAGTAGAAGCGGCACCGCTGCTCCGTCACGTTCTCCGCTGTGAATCTGGTTTGGGGGCACGAGGATGCGGCACGAGGGGGGGGGGGGGCGAATCCAACCCCCCCCCCCCCCCCCATCTCCCCCACAATGGGGAACGGCTCATGGGGATGTAAGGGGGGGGGAGGAGCTCACCTGCGCTTCATCCACAGCACCGCCCGCGTGCCCGGAGCCGGCGATGCGCGCGGCCGCCACTCACAGAGCACATCTTTGTCGTGGCTGCGCCGGGAGCAGGAGACGCGGGGGGGCTCGGGGGGCTCTGCGGGGCAGTGAGGTGCTGGGGGGGTTGCGGGGAGACCCGGACCCAAAGCGGCCCCCCCATCGCGCACCCACCTTCCACCAGCAGACGCACGGTGCGCAATGTGTGACCCCCCTGGTGGCAGCTGTACCGCCCGGCGTCTTCCGGCCGCAGCCCCTCCAGCAGCAGCTCGTTGCCCCCCCCCAACTCCCTCCTCCTCCCGGACCACAGCACGGTGCCGTTGGGCGGCTCCGGATCCCGGCACAGCAGCGTCACGTTGGCTCCGGGGCGGCCCAGCACCGTGTCCTGCGGCAGCGCTGGGGAGTAATGAGGAAGGAGGGGGGGGGGAAAAGTCAGACGGTGCCCCCAAAGCTCCCGGCGTCCCCGACG